CATAATTTAAGCTTTTATATTTCATTACTTCTTGTCTATACTGTCCTAGTCGCCTGTGGCTTAAATTGAAATATAAATTTCATATACCGTACAACAAAGTAGTATTTCAATAGCCAGTTTGACTTTAAAGGCTTATCTGAAAAACAAATCCATTTGTCGCGTATGATTGTTATTGTGCAAAGATTGAACACGGGCCTATTCGTATAAATCTTATATTTATTGCGTTTGTAAATTCCAATCTGTATTATTTAGTATTCCAAATGTTGCATATACACTTCAGGTTCCTTAGACGAAGTTATTTCAAACAATATAACTACTCTACCCAGTTACGTTTTTATGCAGCTATAAGAGCGGCATAAAAATGATAAATGTTTGCAATTTGTAAGATAGGGATTTGTTAGTACATTATTGTGTTTTGTGTTACTTACAAAACTTTCAACATTAAAACAATAATGTAAAATTATTCCAGAAAAATTTAAAAAAAATGTAAAATACGCGAATATTGAATAATATTATATACTATAGTATATGCCTCTATTAATATCACGTCATCAGAGGCCTAGTAGCTACCGTTATCGGCGATTGATCGGACGTTTACGAGGCTCGTTTAAGCACATTATTGCGCTATTTTATCGTGATACACTAGTACCTCAGACAGACTTAACAGATTCTCTATAGACGTGATTTAATTCAAATGTCGTCAACTGAATACTTTAATATTGCCTTATCGATGTTAGTATACGCTTTTTACTATCATATATACGTTTACTCATTTTCATGAAACAAATATCCAGTTACCGGTGCGAGCAGATTTTTTTTTATACAAAATGACCGGACGAACAAGTCGTGTCGGTTGTAAGCAACACGGCTATCCATAATTGTTGCAGTGCCGCTCAGAGCTTTAAATCGCAAAGATCTGAGGGGCTCTACCACTGTGCCAGTCACCTTGAGACATAAGTTGACAAGTCCCATGTGCGTGTAATTTCACCAGAACCCTAACCCTATAAAACCGGATGCTCACATTACTGCTTGACGGCAGAAATAGATAAGGTGGCAGTACTTCCTTGGATGAACTCTTTCACAAGGAGCTCTACTGCTACTAATGTTTCTCAGTTCAGATAGAAGGTTTGTAAACAGTTTATTACAATTATCAATATCATGTATTGAAACCAGTTCGATTTGCATATTACATTTGAACTTGTAAATAAAATGAGTCCATAAGTTTTTATTATGTATTATAATACTCGGGCATATGCTAGAAAAATCGTGTCTGCGGCTAGTCGTCAAGTGCGAGAGGAGTTTTTATGACACGTAGGTATTGCGATGGTTTACCGGAACAAACTAGCATGTAATTTAAGTGGAGCGATGTATTGCGGCCGCGCGAAGAGACGCGAAACGATGTTGGCCCGCGAATCCCGTTGGGGCGGACGCCATTACCGCCCACCGCACCGCGCATGCGTAGAAAAACCGACCCCAGTATGAAGATGTCGAGCGGCGATAACACTGGCTGGATGGACACTTGACAACACCGCTTCCACTCCGTCCTAGACCTCAACGTGTTTATCTTCCTTCGAATCGGGAGCTTACCGCGAATATCCAATTATGTTCTCACAGATCCCAGCTACGATCATATTTATAGTCCCAGTGTTTGCATGCAAGGTGGCGACCGCGGCGCCGACGTAAGTTTTAACAGCTCCATAAAACTAGCCGGCGACGTGAACCTGTAAGTCACTGGTTTCATAAACCACAGGAATTGTACGCTATGCACATTTTTATGTTAGTTTAATGTACCGTTACAGACTAGTTTCATAAACTTAAGAATTCAGTGCGAAAATTAAAGGAATATTATAAACGACAGCTGTCGAAACACTTGGGTTTTCTCGCACCCGTACAGCAATTTACGTAAACCGCATGCCCACGTGTGGTCACCGCTAATCGTTCGTTATAATTGAGACGCACGCCATGCACTAGATTTCTTTGCTCCCTGCCGAGAGAGCGTTACTAGTTTCATAAAGCATTACTTTAAATATGATAAATGCTACATCGATCTAAATAACTCTCCTATCATCATTAATCTTATTAGTATAGTCCGAACCGAAGCGATCTATAATCCACTTCCTATTTTCGTCTCAACCTTACAAGGAATGTGCATCCTATGCTAATAGAACAACAATGCAGTAAATCCATCCTCGAGATTCTTTATCGAAATTGATACTAGCACAAGGATTGATTTTGCTACGTCATAGTTATGTCGATGCTGGATTGAACAGGACCGGTCCATAACTGCTTCGACATTCTTGACCGATGTCCCTATGATCGCCGGCTACGAACAATCTTATTACGTGAACCTGACTGGAGTGATCAGTAAATCTTTTCTAGTCGCCATTGTCTACTATTTCAATTAGTCTTGAAAGTTAGTAATTGTTAGCTTAATTACAAGACGCGCTAAAGCAACGGGTGGTCCGACCATCGTCATTGCAAGTTGTGCCTAATCGCTCTCGCATTAGTGTGTCGTTTGAGCTTTTCTCCAGTCTTTTTTACTTATCGACGACCCATGGAGAAACTCGCCATAAATGTTAAGACGTATCTCCTTAAGACCTTTGACTGTATGTCAATTACTCGCAACAATGCAATGGAGAGTTAGTAATGTTAAGGCATTAATTTATTATTATACCTTTTATAGGGATGCTTTATTCTGAACTTACGAGTAAATATACAGATTCAACAGAGATATGGCAAATTGACGCATTAGTCGAGTTATGTTAGGCAAAGAACGAGGCAGGAGCCATAAGCGCTCGATCGGGCTCGCTATCACACACTGTAATGAGAGGGTTAAAGGTAAACGCTATCGGACGACTTATCTATGCGGGTCGACTGCTATCCATTGTCAATTAAAGGCCCCTGGCGAAGATCGCAACCGCCTTTTGCTTGTTCTATAGTCGTACAACGATTGCTTCCCGATGCATACCCTGCGCCTCGGGGTGGATATTGCTCGGACATTTCCTGTATTGCTGCTTGTATGCTCGCTTTGAACTAATCTTTATTCTGAATGTTCTCGAAATTAACATAAAATCTATTTAGATTTGAATCGCTCCTTGATTAGTACAATACAATCAGAAAAACAAGCCACGAAGAGTGATACGTACGTTGTAAGCTCTCAGTACAAAATAACTGATGGAAACGATAAAGACCAAACTTTGCAGCTGACCAAATTTTGTATTTCTACCGTTTCCACTGAACTAATGTAACTGTTATAGAGGCTACAAATGAATTAGCTCCCGAGCGCTACACCGTTTAACGTCGATACGAAAACTATTCGATGTCCATAAATCAGTCTCCTGACAAGCGGTTGTTCAGGTAATCAAATTAGCGACTTAATGAATTATCTACACCATCGGTCTATTAATCAATGTTAACAAGAGACGAATAATTAATTTTACAAGTTGATCACAAATTGTAGCGGTTTTCCGAGTCGCTACGAAAATTAATCACGCTATTGTTTAGAGCAATCTCTAGATGCCATGTCGGATAGGTCAACAAATTTTGCTATAATAATCTTGTCGCACATTCTTGCATGTTGCTTATAAAGCTTCAACAGTTTCACTATAGATCAACACAACCACACGTTCAACGACGACAATGTATGTGTGAATTAATGAAAATGAGAACTGGAGTTTTATGACGTGATTAAAAAGCCGTTAAATTAATCCTGGTACATTTATAGCGCACGGTCTCATTTTAATTTTAACATGACACGATATATCTTTTACTTCTTTATCACTAAGATTGGCACCTGCTTGATAAAATGTAATTGAATAGGAACCTTGGAGTACTTATAATTTTTCACATTCTGTATCAGTGACAGATTATAAAAGTACCATTCATCTTTTTATCGCAACAGAGTGTTCGTAATAACAGGAACGGACACTTGTCTGGTACGCTTCGTACGTTGATTGAGGTTGGAATAAAATAATATACAAAAATGATTGATATGTGCTTGTTGTATTACGAGGCGACCTGTCATGCTGGCCGCATGTACCATTCGGCTGGGGAACGGTAAAAAGTAACAGGATTACGTTATGCACAAACCGGTTTGAAGAATTCGGAAATCAGGAACGCATCAAAAATTCTTTTTTTAGTACTCAAGTGCATTTCAAGTGAACTGACGTAATGCACTTCATTATTTGTTTGACAATCGGCACATTTCTACCGACCCAAATCGTGAGAGGTGTAAAGTTTATATAAATCTGCCATTTCTGTAGAAATTGTATGTAGTTTTATAGCCAATAAAATGTAGATTGAAGTTAATCATATCGTCGTTTGATCAATGACCGTGTTAATGATGGCCGTAATTAGTATAGGAGAGAATTACACTAGTCTCTAACGCTTCATGGTACTATGCTTCAATTTTAAGTAATCTTCATTAGTCTGAGACGTCTTAAACAACGGTAAATGTACGACCTATTTCATAATACTATGCTTCAATTTTGGTAATGGCCATTGCATTAATAATACACGCTCACTTACCCGACTATTTGCGACTTGCTACCCACGCATTACAGCAAAAAAAACTACCTAACTGTATACATCTTTCATCTTTTTCACTTGGTTGATTTTGGTGCTCTTATTTTTTTTATACATTACATATTACATAATTTATCATTATTACAATTCTATTGCTCAGTTTACGGTACACTATGCTCATATATGCTATTCAGAAACCTATTACAATTTAATTCTCGTCTATTGTACCTCTACATAAATTACGTTAGGGTCTTCATTTCTAATACGGTAACTTGATGTGTGTGTATAGCATCTAGACTAATTTTATAATGGATGCAATAATGGATCCTTGAACAATCTACGCGAGAAGCGAGCGTGTTATTTTCCTTACATTTGCTCTAAGTGCTTCCTCGATGGTTAATAAGACATAATGATGTGTTATTTCTGAAGATTCACGAATTCTGATCGCAGGGAGTAAGGTTCATGGTGTGACTGACCTGTGAGATTCACAACCGCTACCCAGTAACCGCCGTCGTCCTGTGAACAAAACAATAAACCATTGTTAATTACGCAATTTACACATGAGCGTATCTCAATTATGACATGCTGAATTATAGACAGGGGACTTTGTAATCACATACTCATTTATAAGTGCAACGCCATGCATGCTCGCTTTCGTGATTCCCTCATTCAGCAACATACTCACTTCCCCGTATCGTCTTGCAATTATCAGCGTATAGCGTTTGAGAATTTCCCGGATTCTCTATTTTTTGTCTATTTGCTCATCTAAACTCTTTTTACAGAAACTTTTTCGTAGACAGCATAATATAAGCCTGCGAAAGAAATAGCTGTAATTACCTCCAGATTAGGCACAATAACACTGTACCAAAGGGTAATGCTCCTGTCCAAATAGAAGGTTCACGGTTTCTGCCTTCAAATTACAGGTGTTGTTTGCGTGTCTTCTTAGCGTCAATTTGTAGCATACAAATCCTGTCAATTGTGTGGACCATACGGTACGAATTCGCCGACACCAAAGAACACGAAGGAAGATTGTTCGAACATAGAAGTCGTGAAAACGATGCATCTTGACGGAGGCCTAAAACGATTTGTATTTGAACTAGACCTTGGTACGCCAATACTGCATTTACGGAGCCTTAATGATCGTTATTGTAGATAACTGACTATTGTGTAACACGTTGTGTAATAAATATTTGCTAGAGCGTATGAATTGCTTCTGAGATATGTGTATTGTTTGTATCTATAAACTCTTTTAACTATGTAGAGTCAATGTACTTTCCAGCTTCGCGTAGTTTTAAATCAATTTAGTGTCCTGATAGGAATTAATGAATACATTGTCTTTCGCCTGCATACTTCCTGGGTATAAGTACTTTACAGTTTAACATAAGAATGCGTGCAGTGGCTTAGCAACAGCAATTCCGTGAACTCATTTTTACCATTTAAAAAGTCCAATCTTTTGTATTCAGAGGATTGTTGCTTGAAGATTGTATTATTTACATATTACTGTCACTTGGCTGACGCTACGACACTTGAATTAAAATGATGGAAAGTTACTCAAGTTTACGAAATTCTTTCTCTTTTGTTCCAGGTACGTACAGTTGGAGCTTATCAGTTACTTGACCATTAAAGGTAAGCATTTCGTAGAAGTATCTACTGGCACAATGGTATTCAAGTATACCGAGCAATTTTGTACTAGCAAGAGCAATCTCCGAGAGTTCCTTGTTCACAAACTTTTTCAATCTCCTACATAACTAGGGGGTTCTTAACCTCGGTATTTGTGGCAACTTCATCCCTTAAAAGGGCACAACCGGTCAAGCTGGAAACACAGACTACGATCTATACGTGTTTCGTTCTTGTTCTTCTATCAATCAAGTTAGTTTTTAATCTATCAATTGAAAAACATTAACTAGAGCTTAATACAAGATTGCAAAAAACATATGTTACCAAAAGAAGATCTTGTCAATAAGAGCAACTAACAAAAACTTTTCAACAGACAAATATTTACTCAACGGTTTTTTTTCCGTTTCCGCTTCAGCTTGTAATTATTATAGTACAGTAACCTCTAAAAAGCTATTTGTACACATCAATTGGCCATCACTATAAAACAAATGCCACTTATCTTGTGCCAACTTAATTTTCCCAATCTGTTCCATTAATCAAATCATAGCAAAGTTACGTCATTGGTCAATTTCTATCCCACGATGTGTTGGAAGGTATCGAGAAAAAAAAAACTCGTCAGTGGCCCGACTGATCTGTGATCGTTGAACCAGAACGGGAGCTCCCATATCTTGTATGGATAAGTAAACACTGACAAGCTTCACTGGCTTCAGTTTATTTCACAGTCAAATGTTGCTGACAACTCGTACCGTGGATCTAATGCGTTGGTATTAGATTATAATACTGATATTATAGATGTGAATCAGAGCATTCAACTTGGGAAAAAATATGATGCAAGAAATTACATGTAATGATACGTGATACACGCCTACAAAGTATAAGTTTTTGTCAAAACTATCATCGTTTTTCTTAGCACTTAGAGTATATAATGCAATATTGAGATCTAGATTAGATACGCTACTTGTTACGTCTAGAACTACATACATGGTGCTTATTGTAAACTGCTATAAATTATTCATAATATGAACTCTTTACAGAATATTTATCCTTCCATTATGAACGCTTTATCTATTTGCATGCGCGAGTATTATAAAAGTAATATTCTTTTATAATAAATTAGCTTAAACTACGCTTAAATATACTTAATATTTCTTGCCAAGCTACTATTAGAATATGATTGGAATGCCTAATCAAATAAATTGCTCTATCAGCCTTCGTCTGAAGCGCCTTTATGGCAAGTGTTTATAATATTTTCTTTTTCATCTCTTTTCTAGTATGATACGTATCTACAGTTTTTGCCCTCTAGCTATTTTGCTACACGTGTCCAGATGAATGTTATTTAAAGAGCTCTCCTTATCGCCATCAATGTTAACTTTATTTAAAACATGGTGCTTCAGACAGTGCGAAATTGGCCGAATACATTTTATCTATACACCTCATTCAATTAGTTATAGATTTGACTGCACCTATTCAATCAAAACAGCGTGGCTAAACGTTTTTATTGGCGTGACGTCGTTCTTTATCTAGATCAACAAGTACTTTACCGTGAAACTCTAAAGTAACGGACTTTAAAGATTCACGGTATAGTACGCGAATCTCGGATTGTCGATCGGGGAACGTTTTGTCTCGATTCCTTTTGACGCGTAAATTGCGGTATTTGTGCTTTAGAGGCGCGGCGGTAGTGCACCGACGTCGACGCTGCGTCAGCAACCGGCCGATACCTTGCGATCCCGCCACCACCCATCCGTCAAAGTCATGGATGAGCAGTGTTCTCACGTGACCAGCATGAGGAGTCATTTTATCCCCATTATTTAAAGAAGTCATAGGAACTCGCCTCTTACTCGTCCCGCTTATAGTTTAAACTACTCGTAGTATTATCTTACCTTGTAAATTTCCTCAGATAACGACAACGGTTTAACTCGAACATGGTTCCGCGCAAGTGAATTCGTGCCTTCATCTCTAAAGACACCATTTATCTATTTTATTGAATCTAAACAGTCATTGTATTTTGTAGAGAGTTATTTGATATTTCTTGCAAACCTTTAGATCCTTCTATGCCGACAAGTTAGGATGTTAACATAATATCGATTTATTAGTAAATAGAGCACTTTGTGTCACATCTTTTTTTTCTATTAGCCATGTTGTTTAATGTATTTATTTACGTACATCCATTACAACTACCTATCCAATATCTCTCTCGTTATGCCATAATGTTGGTAATATAGCAATAAGTTGATAAACTGTCAGCGATGTAGCGATACTACCCTTTATAGGCGCGATTAAAGTCGTACGGGTGTAAATCTAGTTCGCCTTATTTCAAATATAAATTTCTGCAATAAGCTTATATCTGTCAATCCATAGAGTGAAGAGTTCTGATATCAACAACTTACAATACGCTACTGGTGCACCCACGTACTGCATCTATGTCACATCGTTGTGATATATCCCTCCCATCGGATGCAAAGTACATAGCTTATGGATAAACAAAACAACATTGTCTGTCCCCTGTCTATACATCACCCACCAAAGAAACATTTTGCTGAAGCACGTTTCGAACAATAGAGAAATAAACTATGTTCCATTTTCCACCTCCGCGAAACTCTACCCGGAATATTCTTCACTTCACAGAAAAACGATTTGCTTATCGCCTTTCACATTGTTTATTTTATTCTATAATATTAAATTTGTCTCATGACATTGAAAGAGCGACCAGTAAGCTAATTTATAAGAGGTCTAAGAAAGAACTTTTTAATTTATTTCTTTGCTTTTATCCACAAACCCTATGAAAATGTTTACCCTTATTTTACAAAAATTAAATTGAAAGTTCGTGTGAGTTTTCTTCCGAACAATTTGCAATATTTTTCTGTTTACATTTTGTTATAAAATTATTAAATTTCATATTCGGTCGTCAACCTAAAGTATGTATCAACGCGAACTCTACTCTTTTGAACCGAATCTACGTTACGCCACGCGCCTTCTACCTCCGTTCCACGGGACTGCATTGCTATTGATAGATTTCACAGTGATGGAAAACGTGATTTTGCCTCAAGCCACTCCGATTGATTCTTAAATTCGTGGAACGGTTTTGGTTCGATGTCATTTAAAAATATTTTGCAGTAACTTAAATTTGGCTGTATTCAAAGTTTGCAATATTATTTTATTGCAAATTTATGTTGACATTGTTGTAGTACCTGAAATGTCTCTTAATTGTTTTATATAGAAGTTCTAAGCCAATTTATTAATTATCCACGACTAATATTTAAAAACAAACAATTTAATTGTACGTGTAATAACAGTCAGGATTTAGGTAAATTGAATTAGACGTGGATCATATATTGACGTGACTAACGGGTTTTAGTTAAAATTATCTATACTTTCTTTTTCTCACTATTGACCTTGCAGTTTTCCCATTGTTATTCATATTGTAAGACAGGGCAGGCTCTGACGGAAGTAAAATGAATAGGCCCAGTACATGCTCTCTCATTGTTAGGGAAAGACAGTAATTGTTGTCGTTAAGGCTAGGTAGCGAGCGGCCAGCGATGTGAACAAGGTTATGGGGTTCTAATTGACAGATCACTGCGACGGCGCGGACACCGTAACCGACTTCATCCAGACTAACTGTACCTCTACAGTACAACACGCACCGCCGGCCATCAGCAAATGGCCAGTACCCACCTCAACGGGAAATGCCGGACGTTAGCGTCCTCGACCGCTGCGCTGGCTTCTCATCGAAACACTCGTTTAATTTCCTGCAGAAATCAGAAATAAACCACAACACAAAAACTGTAGACCGACTACAAAGCCGGCGATGCTAATACATGAAAGTAAATCTTATACGTCGTCGTCCGTCTGGGCTTTTCCGTCATGCATTCTGCTGCCAAACTCCTTTCCATGCTAACTAT